AAATCATTCTCTCGTTCAAAATCGTGGTAACTAAAACACATGAAAGATTCAAAATCCCTTTTTAGTTAATATGGTCCACAAACAATGAAAATTTGTGTGAAGAAACATGTAATGAGATGTAAAGTCTCCATAATAATATTGCTACTTCATAATGGAATGGAGGATGTACTACTCCACCGACAACAACAGAAGCTTTTGTCTCGCACAGATGCAAAGGTGGCGTGGTGGCAGCAATTGCTTTCTGGCGAGATTGCTCAGCCGTAGATCCAAGAACCTGTCCCAGAACGGAGACACCAAGCGTACACACCATGGTGGTTTTAGGCATCAAAACAGGGCTACAGAGGATTGGTAAGAAAGGAATGGTTACAAGAATGGCAGTAAGCCAAGGAGGTGAGAGTTTTTGCGAGTGTTCTCGCAGCATGCCTAATACAAAATTAGCACCCATGGCCATTAACAGGACCATGAACATGGGTTGATTTATCATGTCCATAAAAAAGGTTGTGATCATGGGCATGTGTTTAGTTATCATGTTTGTTGCAGAGATGGTTACTGCCAAGCACTTGTATTTTCTGTTGGATGCCATGGCCACAATTGGTTGGAAGTTGCTCACTGATGAACTTGCAAACCGACAATTCCCATGCATCGCCTTTCCATTCTGTCATATCAATGTATAAATTTGCATAGAACCAAATAACCACATTTTCAACATCTACTACAATACGACTAATTAATTTGCGTAAAAAAGTTCATGAATTTTCTTTTTCTGACATTACATTTCGTAAATTTTTTTAAGGGTTAAGGTCGAAATGTGGCCCTCCAACTATTGTCTTTGTAATTATTTAGTCACTTAACTTAACTCTATTTTGGAGGCACGAAGTCATTTTAAATTTCAAAACTGTATCTATAACAATGTGACCATATAAGTTATCCAACCTTTTTTGTACAAGTTTTAGCCACGTTTTATCTGATATTATGACTTTAATCCTACCTTTTGTTAACAATTTTTTTTCTTATTTTTCATTTTTACAAATTTGTCTTTATTTTTTGAAAAGAATTTTGTTTTGTTTTATTTTTTGACATGCATTAAAACAGATTCATAATAACTCATCTTTTATAAACTTATTTATATAAAAAAACATAAAAATGTGTAAACAAAACAAAGTTGTAAAAACGATGTAAAGAAACATGTAAAAGTGAAGTTCTAAGATTTGAAAAAAAGTTGTTTGACATTATAAAAACATGTAAAAACAAAAACAGAAAATTTGTAAAAAGGTTGGGGAACTTTTGTATAAAAGTTGGAGCAAATTTGAAAAAAATAAATAAATAAATAAAATTGTAGTGAAGGTGGGAACAAGAGTGTTGGTTCACAAAGATACAAATGGAGGCAGTTACTTTATTTAATATCAACTCATGTACTTTTTCACACCTTTTCCCCTTATCCTCTACTTTTGCCCACTTCTTACTTAAAGTTATCCAAAAAATGGTACATGTAAATTTTATATCGTGAAATATGTCTGAAAAAGCAATTTTGTGAATTAAATAGGTATTTCACAAACTTGATTTTTTGCAAATATAGTTTTGTGATGAATGTAGGAAAGGTGGTTATTTGGTATTATTTTGGTCATTTTTGTGTTTCGTACAAAAATATTAACGAGGACACTCATATGTAGTAAAGTAACAGACATGGAAAAGTGGGGAGATAGAGATACCATAAAAATACCTGAAAAGCAAAAGCTTTATGGTTGTTTTGCTGATTCTTGAACTTATCAATAAATGTATCAAAACATAAGGAGCCTCCAAGATTTGAGAAACTGATAGAGGCCACCTTTGCTGCTAAACGACTATACATTGATTCCACTGTTATCTGAAAATGATCATAATATGTTTGTTCAAGGAAAGACACTAAATAATCAAATTCTTTAATTTGCAAAAAGAAACTTGTCATAATACCTCAGCAGAGTCTTTGTTGAGTGATTTTTGTCGTTCCTTTGACATCTCATTTGATGCATAATAGGTTCAGGATCCTAACCCGAAGGTAGAAACCTTAACCAGACCACCTGTAGTTCGAGACACAGGGAAATCTCCAGCAAAACGTCTAAGACTTTTATTCCAGCATAAAAACCTAATTAATCCCTAGAACATTAATTATATAGTCGTATTAATCCTAATCATAAACCAAAACCAGATCCTAGAAAATAGGAATTCTAAACTAAGTAAAAAACTATTATTCTAATTAAAAGGAAAGCTAAATACAAGGAAACATTTAAAAACTCTTTCTTGAATCTTGATGCTTATCCCTTCGTCGATAGACTTGACCAAAACGACCAACATGGGTCGTATCATTACTCCCCTCCCAAAAACGCACCTTGTCCTCAAGGTGGAACTCAGGAAAACGCATGTTCACATCAACCAGATTCTCCCAGGTGGCTTCATACATGGGCAAATCCTTCCAACGAATCAAAACCTCACGACCCATGGCCCCATCTCGAACACCTTCCAGCTGTTCAGGTTGCATCAACACCTCCATGTCATCAGTCAAAGTAGCTGGTAGCTGTGGATTTGCTTCCCTGTTACCTATCGCCTTGCGTAGTTGTGAGACATGGAACACATTGTGGATACGAGCGGAGGGGGGAAGCTGCAATTTATATGCCACCTTACCAATTCGGGCTATTATTTCAAAAGGACCAAAATAGCGGGACGCCAGCTTTTCATTCACACGCCTTGCCACAGAGTGTTGTCGATATGGTCGCAATTTTAAGAAGACTTGCTCCCCGACTTCAAATTCCACCTCTTTACGACGCTTATCAGCCTGATTTTTCATTAGTTGTTGAGCCTTTGATAAATCACCCCGCAACTGCAACAAAACTTGGTCCCTCTCCTGAAGGTATTGATCAATAGTACTAACCGGCGTCCTTTGAGTTCCATAATGCAACAAATGAGGTGGATCACGACCATACAAGACCCGAAAAGGAGTAGTGCGAGTGGAAGTATGAAAAGTTGTGTTATACCAATATTCCGCCCACGACAGCCAACGAACCCATTTTTTAGGCTTGTTTGAAATGAAACAACGGAGATAAGTCTCTAAACAGCGATTAACAACCTCAGTCTGCCCGTCCGTTTGCGGGTGGTAGGTCGTGCTTCTTTTTAACTGAGTACCCTGCAACCGAAACAATTCCTTCCAAAATAAACTTAGGAAGACCCTATCTCGGTCAGACACGATAGATTCCGGAATCCCATGTAAGCGCACAACCTCTCGGAGGAAAACAGTAGCAACTGTTAAGGCAGTATAGGGATGCTTTAACGGAACAAAATGTGCGTATTTACTTAGGCGATCAACAACTACAAAAATGACTGTAAACCCATCTGACTTTGGCAAACCATCGATGAAGTCCATAGTAACTTCGGACCATACCTTATTGGGTAACACTAGAGGTTGTAATAACCCGCTAGGCGCCATGGTAGAATACTTTTTTCGTTGACAAACATCACACTTTACAACCATTTTTGCAATGTCGCGCTTCATTCCCACCCAAAAACCTCCCGAACCATGCGTTGATACGTCTTTTGCACTCCCGAATGCCCCCCTATAACATCATGATGAAATTCAAGAAATAATTTTGGAATCCAGCTTGACTGACGATTAAGAACCAATCGTCCCTTATACAACAAACGGTTGTTTTTAACATAATAACCCAATGGTCCCTATTGCCCGGAAGTAATACGCTGCTTGATGACCTTTAATTCTTCATCATGTTCTACTTCCCTCCACAACTCGTCCCAATCTACCCTGCAGGCTGACGTTAAGGCCCCAAGCTGAACCGAAACATCCCGACGAGACAGTGCATCTGCAACACTGTTTTCATTCCCGGGTCGATAAACAATGTCAAAATTATACCCTAATATTTTTGTTAGCCACTTCTGATGGTCCTCTGCAACGGTACGTTGTTCCAATAAATATTTGAGACTGCGCTGATCGGTTCGAACCAAAAACTTTCTCCCGAGCAAATAAGGACGCCACTTTTGTATAGCAAAAACGATAGCCATCAATTCCCGTTCATAAACTGATTTCATCCGAGCGCGAACACCTAAAGTATGGCTATAAAAAGCTATCGGCCTGTTATCATGCATCAAAACTGCTCCAAGACCATACCCCGACGCATCTGTTTCCACAATAAAAGTTTTGTGAAAATCGGGTAAAGCCAAGACGGGTACCTCGGTCATTGCTTGTTGCAACAACCTAAATGCGTTGGTAGCCTCCTCTGTCCATTTAAAACTATCCTTATTTAACTGGTCTGTTAATGGCCTAGCAATGAGGCTATATCCCTTTACGAATTTTCTGTAATAACCGGTTAGCCCTACAAACCCCCGTAGTTCCCTAAGCGTTGTAGGAACTGGCCAACTCATCATAGCGTCAATTTTAGATGGGTCTGCCTCCACGCCTTCTGCCGAAACTATATGCCCCAAATATTCAATTTTACATTGTACAATCGCACATTTTTTCTGATTAGCATAAAGACAATTCTTTTGCAATACTTCCAACACAATAGTTAAATGCTCGACATGCTCCGACTCGGTTTTACTATAAACAAGAATATCATCAAAAAAAACTAGCACAAAACGTCGTAGGAAAGACTGAAAAACCTTATTCATCAAAGATTGGAATGTAGCGGGCGCGTTGGTTAACCCGAACGGCATGACCAAGAACTCGTAATGACCTTCATGAGTGCGGAAAGCGGTTTTTGGGACATCCTCGGCCTTCATGCGAATTTGATGATACCCCGATTTAAGATCAAGCTTGGAGAATATAGTAGCTCCATGTAATTCGTCGAGTAGCTCGTCAATGACAGGAATTGGAAATTTATCGAGAACAGTTGCTTTATTAAGCGCTCGATAATCCACACAAAACCTCCAACTGCCGTCTTTTTTCTTCACCAACAAAACCGGACTCGAAAAAGGGCTAGTACTTGGCTGAATTATACCTACGTTGAGCATTTCACGAACTAGCTTCTCGATCTCATCCTTTTGTGCGTGGGGATAGCGGTAGGGTCGGACACTAATTGGAGCGGTGCCCTCGTGAAGGGTGATGGCGTGCTCATGGCTGCGATGGGGGGGGGGGGGGGTAAATCGACTGGCATGCGAAAAACCATTTCGAATTTCTTAATAACCTCCTGAATGGCGGGCGGTGGAAGCGGTATTGGCGACGAAATTTCCGCTGAATTCATGTGAACTAAGAATCCCGTGTCTTCGTTGTAACATAGCTTAAGCATGGACTTGCAAGATACCAACGTTCTTGTTAGGCTCGGATCACCTGTAATGGTGATTTGACGACTACCATCCCAGAACTTCATCCATAATTCTCGCCAATTGACTGTCAAGTCGCCTAGTGTCTGAAGCCAAGAAATCCCAAGAATAATATCTGATCCCCCTAAATTTAAGGGATAGAATTCTTCAACGACTTGTAGCTCTGGTAAATTTAATACGACTCCTTTGCATGTACCATTACTTTTTTCCCACATACCGTTCCCAAGCCGTACCCAGACTGCACCTGTTCCCGAAACTGTCATTCCCAATTGAGCAACCACCTGCTTAGAGATGAAGCTATGTGTTGCTCCGCTGTCAATTAAGACTAGCACAGGCAATCCTCCGATGAAACCCTTCACCCTCATGGTTTGAGGAGACGTGAGTCCGCTTACCGAGTTAAAGGATACCTCGATTTCATCGAGGTGTGCGTGTTCCAACCCTTCTCCCACTTCATTATCCTCTTCCTGTTCATCGATGATCAGCACCTGAAGTGTCTTACCAGGACAACAATGGCCTGGAGAAAACTTCCCGTCACAACGAAAGCATATGCCCTTGGATTTTTTCTCAGCAAATTCGGCTTCTGTTAAACGCTTGAACTGACCAGTAAGGCCTGTCGAATTAGTACTAGTCGGGTTGGTACCCTTGCTGCCTACGTTGGTTGAAGACGAAATGCTAGAAGCTCCACCTGATCGACTAGACCCGTTGTTGTTGGACCGAATTACCCCACCACTAGTCTTGGGTGTGCCGATATTGAACTTGTTTTCGTCGATCATAACAGCAAGAGTCATGGCTCTGGCCAAATTTGCTGGCTGTAAAATACGAACGGCCGAACGTGTGTCATCCTTGAGACCATTAACGAAGGTGCCTTCTAAGACGCTTTCTGGTATGTCTCCCAACTGACATGATAGTCTTTCAAAATTGCTTACGTAGTCACGTACGGTTCCCTCTTGTCGGATGGCAAGAAATTGATGATAGAGATTGCCTTCACCTGTTAACTGGAATCGCTCCAACAGCCGTTCTTTTAATTCCTCCCAAGAGCGGAACGGGTCCCTTGCTTGACTCCAACGAAACCAAGCCAACGCCTTGCCGTCCAAGCAAATCGCTGCTGCCTTCAAACGATCGCGTACGCCAATGTCTTGGATCTCAAAGAAACGCTCCACCTTATAAATCCATCCAAACACGTCTTCCCCTTCAAAAATAGGAGCCTTAAGCTTCTGAAATTCTCCCATTTGTCGACCCCCACCCTTGCTCTTATCGTCCTTAGGTCCCTTTTTGAAGGACCCAAACTCGAGCTGAAATTCAGGTTCTTCCTTGTCCATCGCCTCCTCTTGAATAATCTTCCCCTTGATAGTCTTCGCCAAGTTATTGATAGCTTGCAGGACGTCTGTGAATTGTGCAGTATTCTCCTTCTTGGCGAGGTCAGCTTCCTCTCGAATCTTGGTAAGATCCTATTCCAGGGCTGCAACACCTGCCTCCAATCCAGCTATTTTCTCAGTATTTGTTTTTGACATGTTGACACCAGGACCGTAGAGCTCTGATACCAATTAATAGGTTCAGGATCCTAACCCGAAGGTAGAAACCTTAACCAGACCACCTGTAGTTCGGGGAAATCTCCAGCAAAACGTCTAAGACTTTTATTCCAGCATAAAAACCTAATTAATCCCTGGAACATTATTATATAGTCGTATTAATCCTAATCATAAACCAAAACCAGATCCTAGAAAATAGGAATTCTAAACTAAGTAAAAAACTATTATTCTAATTAAAAGGAAAGCTAAATACAAGGAAACATTTAAAAACTCTTTCTTGAATCTTGATGCTTATCCCTTCGTCGATAGACTTGACCAAAACGACCAACATGGGTCGTATCAATGCACCAAAGGGCCCTTCGGAACCAAAGAGACTAATAATGGCATGTCTTACAGCAAAACCATTAAGTTGCTGTGGGACAACACCACTATGGTCATAAATAAACCTACAAATCATTTTAATCTGAATATCCTGATATGTAGAAACTTTGGTTCCCCTGTCCTCCTGATGGAAAATAATACTGTATGACATTAGTTCATTTGCATAGATGGATTTTGAGGATTTCTTTTTTTATCTAATGCATGCCAAAATAAAGTCTTAACTCGTAAATATAGAAAATGAGGATTTTCCCATCAAGTACCAACTTTTTACCTCATGTACAATGATGTGTCCGTTTTGGGGTGCAAACGACTCAAGCTACTCATGATCGGCTCTTTAAAAGCTCGACTCGAAATCGATTTTAAACGAACTCGAGCTTAACATTAAGCTCTTTTATTAAACGAGCTCGAGCCTATGTCACTAAACTCGTTTAGCCTTAATGAGCCTATATATAATATAATTTATTATTATTTTTATATATTAAAATAAAAAACTATTTGGGGAATTAGGGATTTAGGGTATTAATAAACGAGCTCGAAGCAAGATTAAGCTTATCTAGGTACGTTAGACAAAAAAAAAACGAGCTGAGCTTAGTACAAGAAAGTTCGAATCGAGCTCGAGCCTCGTATAACTTAAGCGAACCCGAGCCGAGCTTGACCACGATCAAGCTCGACTTGGCTCGTTTGCAGCCCTACTGAGAAGAGTCTTTCTTGGACGATTTTTGTACCTTTCTAAACATCTCATCAAAACCAAATGATCCTCCAAAACTTGAAAGACTAATAGTAGCCGCCTTAGCTGCTAAAGGATTAAACTGGTGGGACATTGATTCCACTTTCACTTTTTGGGGAAACTGCAATGATCCTTCAGAAAGTGGGACAACACCATTTTGTCCACTAGGGCATTTTGGTTTTCAACATGAAGATATGGTTATGTGGTGTCATGAGTGTTTGTGGGTGCTAAAGCTCAATACCATGAAAAAAGAGAAAGATGTTGCAATGAAAAACCAAAATTGCTTTCGTGAGTACGTGGTTTTGTGAAGAAAGCCAAACACTTCATGTTGTTTTGTGATGCTTCTCCATCAAAGAGCGTTGAACTCATTTTACTACCTATGATTTTGGTTTGGGAAAGCTGAATGACTATCAACTTTAATTAGAGGTATATGTTTTTATTGACTTTTGAGTTAAGTAGGAGGGTTATGTCACATTTTGCTAGTTCTAATTGTAGATACAGGCGTAGCCAATGTAGGATAAGAGTGAGTCTTGGCCCACCCACAAAAAATTAAGGTTACATATATTTGTATGTACAATATATATTTTTGTTAAATAAAAAGAATTAGGATTAAAGAATTTTGTTATTTGGCCTACCTTAAAACAAAATCTTGGCCGGATCAATGTTGCAAATACCAATGTTATAAGATCCTTGTAGTGGGCGTCATTATAAGTATTTATTATATATGTCGGACCTCCTTTAGGAAAATATCATCTACCCTTGTGTGGAGTTTTAGAGAATGATGTTGGAATATTAAATGTGTGAGGAACACATTCCGATAGAAGGCTATCATGATTCATGAGATAATACTTGCCTTTGTATTTGAGCTTGTATAAAAGTGATCTTGCCTTTGTATGTGAAACTTGTATAAAAGGTGACGAGGTTATTGTGTTTTTATGAAAAAGAAAATGTGACTATTAAATTTATGTGGAACGTTATAAAAAGAATGGCTTTTTTTGTAACTCCATCAAATAGTAGGGGTAAGGTGGTAATAAATTGTTCACAGACATATAGGGTTAGTATTCTATTTCTTTATATAAAACGGAATGACACCTGTTCCTGGGATAAGAGCGCCGCAATGAAGCTGGGAATGGCGCATGGGTGAAAAGCCTTTTCGGTGGTTTGCTACGGCAAATGTTATGAGGGATAAGATGAGTGGAGCGAGGTGGCTTTGACGGTGTTAAACCATCGCGACTCACCTGATGCGTTTTCATTTGGTGTTGCCTGAAGTGGTTTCCGGAAAATAAGGCTATGATTCGATGGTGATCAATGCAAGACCTGCTACAACCCAGTTTGCTTTCACGGTGGATTTGTTGCCGGAGGTGGAAGTTTCCCATATTTTGGGGCGAGTTCTGCCCTTGCTCTGTTCTTATATGAGTGTATGTGGGTGCTACGATCAAAATTCAAACACCCACTTTATATGCTGCGATTTTGGTTCGGAAAATATCGACTTTCATCATACATGCATGGGAAATTGCGAAGGTATATGTTTATGTCCATTATTTTTTTGTATTGTTGTGAGATAAATATCCTACCTACTGGTTTATAATTAGTTAGTCAAACTAAAGAGATATATAATATAATAACCGAGACTAATTTGGTCTAACATGATTGGAAACATATAGTTTACATATCATTGGGCCTTTGTATAAATCTTAGTTGTGGGTTATCGATTGATCATTCATGATGAAATTATGATATTCGGCCAATTGATAATTAACCGGATTATGTTTGATATTCTGGTAAATTTTAAGGATTTATAGATTTAAATTATTAAAAAGTGAGACCCTTTGATTAAGAGGGGTTGACATTTTTTTGGTCTTTTGCCATGTTTTACCTTCCAATGTGATATCATGGTTCCATATAAGTATGATTATATTAATGTTTGGAGATGATTGATCTTAAGGAATGTGAAGTGATGGATGAACATACATCCTTTAAAATAATAATATGTTATTATTACAATATGCTATAATAGGTTCCCATCCATAATATATTAAATTCTATAAAGTTCAATGGATTGTCAAATCATCATTCTATATTCCATAAAACTTTATAATTTTTTTTTAAAAACTTTTTCTTCACGTTATAGGGTTCAATGACCATTGAACTTCAAACTTATTAAATGTTAAGGTGGTATCTTACATTGATAGAGTTCAATGATAACTAAACTTGCCATCTCATTCACATTTCCTATTAAACTCTCAATTGTAGCCGCTCTTATGTAATTTCAATAGACATATTTTATATAACAAAAGTTATTATCATATAATAATAATAAAGGGATTTTGGTGAAAAGTTTACATTTGATGAAAAAATGTTAATGCTTTATTAAACCCTAACTAAAAACAAATAAAATTTACAATAATTCTTACCCCAACGCTTTGTCTTAAGTTTAAATTGAAAGGAATGATATAAAATAGAAGTAAAAGAAAACCTTCTTTTTCCTTTTTCCCCTCTTAATCCTCTCATATTAGAGGATAAGTTTTCAGGTCTCAACACAAACAAAATTCCAAACCACTTATACAATTGCAAGTAAAACAGTGTTTCTTTTGTATCTCATCAAGCTGATAATAAAAGAAATTGATAAAATGACAGCACACTTAAAAACCTCCATAAACATAACAAATAAATAAATAAATAAATAAATAAAAAAGAAAGGATTCTAATACTGTTGCAAATAAATCCTACCAACCAAAAAAACGATATCCTTTTACTGTGGGGGAGAAGGTGATGCAAGTTGTTGTGACACCAAGAATGAAGATTCCAATGGGGAAGAATCTAATGAGATTAGATAGCTCCATAAAGATATCACCACTTTAATATGGAATGCCATATCTTGTGCCTGATCATAACCACCAACAACAGACGCGTCTGTCTCAGGTGAAGGTGGAGGTATGGCGGCAGTGGGTTCCAGGCGGTACTGCTCAGCCATAGATCTAACAATCATGCCCAGAATAGAACCACCAAGAGTCAACGCCATGGTGGTTTGTGGCATCAAAACCCAGTTAATGCCATAAAAGTCTTCAAATTTTCAAAAAATGTTTGGCTATGTCCACAAAAACCGCACATTTGGGTAAAAATTGTCATAATTGCCCTTTTTTTCGATTTCACCCTTCTATGGCATTAGGGGATGTTTGGTTCTAGGATTAGAGTGTGTTTGGTTTGCTCATTCTTTTCTTTCCATCGTCGGTAAACCAAGGAAGAAAGGAAGGGTTGCCACCTTCGTTCCAGCCACTTTTAGCAACCCATGCACCTTCTTCTTTCTTCATTAATTGCCACCCAAACACCCATCGATCTGTTGCTTCCCCTTTTCTTCGTTCCGAAAACGGCCAACCACGAAGAACGAGCCACGAAGGGCTCGTCAAAGACGCCTACTTCCACCTTGCTCCGTCACCACCAGCTGTCGACTTCAACCCTTCCTCCTTTTGGTTTGTCGAGCACCAACAACACCGATGGTGCTCTCCTTTGGTCGATTGTTGTTGTTGCTTCCTTTTTGGTTCGATTGTTGTCGGAGACGAGGACAAGGAGGCCAAGGGGAGCCCACCAGAGATCGACTCCTTTCCCCTCGTTGCGATCTTCTTAACCACCGGAGCTTCACATCGTCGACTGCTTCCGTTCGTGATTCAATTTCTCGATCAAAAAAAGTCGATGCCCCATCAGGACCGCCTTCCGTTCGTCTTCTTCGATCCACCCCGTTGTCGCTTCCTTTTCCCCTCGATTGGTGGTTGCCAACGACGAGAGAAGTACTACGAAGGTCGGAAGTTGCAGGTCGCCAGAAATTGCAGAAAATGCCCAGCTTCGTTTCGACATCCTCTAATGCCAAACATCCTGTAACATGTGTCGATTTGTAACCAAACATCCCCTGAAGCCATTGAAGGGTAAAATCGGAAAATAGGGCAATTATGACAAATTTTGCCCGAATGTGCGGTTTTTGTGGACATAAAAAATGAACTTAGGATACAACCGAACATTTCATGAAAATTTGAGGGCTTTTATGGCATTAGCCCATCAAGTGCCGAAGAGAACCAAGGGCAGGTTAAACTTATCAACGTGCACAGGAGACTTAATCCAAGTCCAAGGCATGTTGGTACCGAACTGAACTGGTACCAAACCTTATACTTCAATTTGGTTTTCTATTCTTACTTTTGTTCCATTTTGGTAACGATACTCTTACTGTTTCATTCAAATTCAAACTAAACCTACTTTCACAAACTGAATTGGCACCGAACTAGTATCGTGTTATATATATTTCAGTTCGATATTCAGTTATTACTTTTGTGCCATTTCGTTTTGGTACTGGTTAGGTTCCAATATTGAGCTAAGTCGCTAACTCCTACCTTGTAGATAAAGATCCGTTTATAATGTTCATTCTGAAAAAGAAATTCATTTTTTAATATAAGAAAACATAAATTGATATATATAATATAGATATCCGTGAACGCAAAAATATTACTCTACTATCTAAACGCAATGGGATTTGATTCCACTTATGCTTTTGATCCATTAACTTAAAATTTGTGTTTTGTCTTTTATATCATCATGGTGATTTTCTCTTTAATTAAAATAGAATGTATATTAATAAAAACAAGTTTTACGTGGATGAATAAAAAACATAATTGGATATCACCTCTCACAAATGTAATATCTAATTTATTTTTTCTAAATATAATAGATAATCAAGTCAATTCTAAAAAATAAAATATAAATATTATCATTTAATTTTGTCTTGTAACATGTTCTTTTAAGTGTTTTATGTATCCAACTCTACCACATAATATAAAAATGACATTCTTTTTACAATTTTATGTAATACTTTTTATATGAAATGATAAAAACAGCAAATTTGTCATATTATATGTTTAAGCGTAAAAATATATGTTGTGTGCCTTAGAAAAATGATAAACAGTAGGTCATTATTTTTGCAATTAACCTTAACTTTTATAGCTTAATTAATAAGTTTTCCCATCAAAACCCTTTTTTCTACTTATGTGTTACCCTTTTAAGATCACTTAAACTCTCTACAAACCTTAAATCGAACCTCTTCAATAACAT